AAACTGGTCTGACAACTTTGGAAAACACCTTAGCCTTATTCCTTAGTAACATGACCATGTGCACATTCTATAACCCAGTGGTTCCTCTCCAGGCTATATTCTCTACAATAGCTCTTGCTCTTTTGGATCAGCAGGCAGGAACAAAACTGCATCGCCTCACCCAGATATTTATCATCTGAAGATTGGGTAAGATAGCTTACTCACACAATTGAATGATAATAGCTATGAAAAATGGAGTAGTTAATGTCAGAAATCATGTCAAGTACATGAATCCATTCAATCCAATTCCAATAAACAAAATTAAGCATTATATTATTTATGGATACAGCCATGATGGTAAAACCTCCCAAGAAGGCCTAGAGATCCTAAGCATATTTTTATACTGGTGGGAAAGATACCATTTAAAGCAGGAAATTGAAAGTATGAATTAAAAGAAGAGAAATTAAGTCTCTGATAATGAAGGAGAGAATGGGTTTTTAAAAGCTACTCAGAAATTTCTTTTATTGGAGGCTGGAGGTGTTGTTATACAATGTTAATTGTTATGTTTCCTTTTTCCATATATAATCACATGCCCAGAACCCAGTAATAACAAATCTATAGAAGAGTAGAAAATACAAGGACAAAACTTTTTAATAAACAATTTACATTCAACTTCCCACACCTTCTACTAGTTTAACATATGTTTCAACAAACAAGAAAAATTTAACCATTGTACAAGGAAAAATAACTGCAACAAAATTATCAAAATCAGAACATTAACTCCAGTGTTATCCTTAGATGGTAGATTAGCCTGGATTTTAATTTTAATAGTAACCATGATTACTTTTGTTGAATTCTCACCCATCACTTTGGTTTAACCAGTTGTTTCAATAATGTTTTTTATAGCAAAATAATAGGGTTTGGAATCAAGTGCTGCATTAATTCCTTCTAGTCTAGATCATTTCTTCAATCCATTCCATAACATTTATGACCTTGGCACTTTTTAAGATTATGACTTAGTTATTTTTTAGAATATCCTTCAATTTAGGTTAGTATGATATTTCCAGATAGTTAGATTCAAGCTATATTTCACAGCCAGCATCAAATTCATTTATTTATCTTTTAATCCTTATAAAATTAATTATTATATATACTAACAGTCAGACAAGTAGGCAAATAAACATATAAAACAGTTATACTAAATCAAGGTACACTTATACATACATTGTCCATGCTGGATTACAATAACTTTTTCTGTTTTTTGTCATCACAGAGGTACCTCAGTTCATGAACTTAATTCTTTCCACAACTCTGGCTGCAAACAGAAAGGGTCATGAACTGAATCCAATTTCCCCATAAGGTTCAGCGTCACCCGATGCCTAGTTTGCAAACAGAAGCCAAATTTTGCAGAACGCTTCTGTTCCCGAACAAAGCATTTGTGAATTGAGGTACCACTGTATGCACCTTTTATTTTGCACTTTATTTTTATATCTTTTTCATATAAAAGAGAAACACTGTGATATTTAAGCTTATGTGCTTGATTTACTTCACTTAACATTATCATCTCAAGGTGCATCCATTTTTTACAAATGACTCCAGTTTACCCTGATTTACAGGACAGTGGTAGTCTGCTGTGTGTAAACACCATATTTTCTTTATCCGTTCATCTGCTGATGGACATACAGCCTGCTTCCAAGACTTAGCCATTGTAATTTGTGCTGCTATAAATATGGGCATGCAGACATCACTGTTGTTTGATCTTTTTAACTCTTTTGGGAAGATGCATAGAAAGGAAATAGCTTGGTCAAATGGAATTTTATTTTTAATTTTTTGAGAAACCACCATACTGGTTTCCATAGTGATTGTATCAGTTTGCACTCCCACCAACAATGAAGAAGGCTTCTTTTCTCCCCCTAGCCTCACCAGCCTTTTTTTTTGGGCGGGGGAGGCTACTGGGAGTTGAACTCAGGACCTCCTGCTTGCCAGGCAGGCTCTGTGCCTCTGATCTAAATTGCTAGACCCCCATTCTTTTGTTACTGGCTGATTTGTTGGTAGTAGCCATTCTTTCTGGAGTGAGATGGAATCTCAGTTTGTTTTAATTTGCATTTTGGGAATGGCCAGCGATGTTGAATATTTTTTGTGTATTTATTGACCATTACATTTCTTCATATGAGGTGCCTATTTTTTGGTTGGCTCTTTAAATTTGGAGGGGGTATAAATTTTGGGGTTGCTTTTCCCAGTGCAAATTTTGCTTTGACACATCTCATTTGACTGCCTCATTTAGGCAGATCTTCCCAGAAAGACACTGCCTTATTCTGCTGGGCTCTGATATCTCTCCCAAGGACACACATCCATTCAGATACCTTCTCACCCATCTTAGGCTCTGATTTCTCACCAAAGCACAGCTATGCTGGGCCACCTTCCTGGGTCCTGATTTTGTCCTCTGGTCATCTTGGCTCCTCCCCTATCCCATCAGAGACATCCACCTTTTTCTACCCATATAATGGTTTTAGGGCTAAATGGTTTGAAAATGGAAGAGGAGGAAAGAGAAGGTAAAGTGAGAAAAAAAAAAAAAAAGAAGCATTCATTTATCTTATTTCACATATGCTTCTTCTGGCTGTGCATCAGAAATAGTTAGAGAGCTTTTAAAAATGACTTATGCTTGGCCCTATCCCTAGAGATGTATGATCATCCAGCAAAGGTCCTGAGCACCTACTTTTTTGGAAAACTCTTCAGGTGATGTTACTGTGAGAGGTGGATTGAGAACCACAACTCCCCTGGAGGCAGAATGGAGAGAGCACTGCAAGTAAAATTGAGGAATCAGAGAATGCAAGAAAGCCACGAGATGGCCTCAGATTTGCTCACTGCATGGGGGAGGAGATGTCGTCAGCTAAGACTGAGGGAGATCAAAATTCTCACAGGGTAGGAGTGGGGACTCTATGAAATAACGCTTACCGAGACAAGGAGACACATTTTAACTTAAACATTATAGATTACCAGGTTGTGTGCACTGCCCTCTTCAAGTTACATGCTTCAGAACATATTAAACTTCCTCAAATATTAAATTTATATTTTTAATGAATATAAAGATAAAATAAAGGGAGTAAACAATAGAAAATGGGATCAACTTCAGTAATATGCTTTTTCTCCCTTCTTTGTCTATCCTGTATTTGAGTTTACAAATTAGCTTTTACTAGGTGAGTAATGGAAGAAATGGTGATTTTAACTTCATGGAGGTATAACTGATACACAAAATATGAGTTTGGACATGTGCATACATCTTCGGTTCCATCACTATAACCAAGTTACAGGACATCCAGCTCGTCCCAAACAGTAATATTTTAATTTCCACTTTTGGGGGTTTTTTGTGTGTGTTTTTGTTTTTGCTTTTGTGTTTTCGTCTTTTTGAGACAGGATCTCTCTATGCAGTTCAGGCTGGTCTTGAGCTCACTTTGTAGCCCAGGCTGGTCTCAAAATCTCACAACGATCCTCCCGCCTCAGCCTCCCAAGTCTGGGGTTACAGGTGTGTACCACCACAGCTGGCATTTTGATTTTCAAAAAATAATAAAATAAATGATGGCTCAGCAAGCAGGAGAATTTAGGGGCACTGTTTTAGTTGGCCAGGGATGCCATAGCAAAGTACCACAGGCTGAGGATCTTAAACAACACAAGTTTATTTCCTTGCAATTCTAGAGTGTAGAAGTCTAAAGTCAAGGTGTGTCAGCAGGGCAGGCTTCTTCTGAGGGTTCTCGCTGATGTATTCATGCCTGTATCCTCCTGGTGTCTTCACACAGTCCACCTTTATCCATGTCTGTGACAACTTTCTTCTCTTATAAGGTCACCAGTCATGTTAGATTAGCACCTGCCCTAATGACTTCCTTTTAATTTAATCACTTCCTTAAGAACAGTATTTCCAAATATAGTCATATTCTGAGAACCAGGGACTTTAATGCATAAGTTTGGGTGACATATAATTCAACAAATATCAGGCACTTAGACCACACAGAGATTTTAACCTTCTTCCTAGTGTTTCCACTCTCTTTGTATCATGGGTGGTTTTCCCCCCTGACTTCTTAGCTCTATGCCTAGAAATCTGTCTGGTAAACACTTTTCCATCATGGTTGACATTTATTAATAATTTTCTGTGATGTTATGTCTTTAAATGTTTTCTATTTTACCACATTCAGCTAATTATGCTTCCAAGCAAAACTGAAACCCCTGTGTTTGTATTTCTACTTCCTCATTCTGCAAGGGAGCCTCCTCCAGGGTCAGAGAGAGAGACCATCAGAAACTAGACAGCTTCATCTCTTAGGGGCTTAGTGTGGTTCACCTTGTTTTTTATTAACGGGTCCTCAGAATTATGTCTCCTACCCATGAGAAGAGAAATAAAAAAGCAAAAGTAACAAGCCCGGATTCAAGTTTCTGATGTAAAGAGAAAACGCTTTTAGGAAATTTCTGGTAAGTTTCCAAGTCCTTAAACCTTTGTTTGTCACATGGATGCGGGGACAGATATCTCTTAATACACCAGCTTTATTTTTAGATGAATACATGTTGGTGTATAAACCATTACTTGTAAAAACAATCAATGAGAAATGGCCGTGTATTAAATACACATCAGTCTATTGAAGTGATAATAGTAAATGCTTTTCTGGAGAGAACCACACCATCACGTGTAATTAGGTGGCAAGAACTAAGAAGTCTAGTGAGAGGGCGTCTGGTCGTGGCTGGCAGCTTAGTGAAAAGAAGAAGGGAAACAGTACAAAGACTGTCAGGGATTTAAGCCTAAAAGATTGTAACAGGATCAGTAGTCCTCTGTAAACATACAAAATTCTGCCTTCCATACTGTATGGTATTATTAAATGTCTACCCCTCGTCAAAGAAGACCCTCGCCAGAGGATAGCTTTTCTTCTGTTTTAATCTTTCACGCACAGTTTCCTGATCTCGCAGTAATCTGATTTACAGCCAAAAGTGAGGAAAACGAAACCAGCTTGCTGCTGCCTGGCTTTAGTTCCTCAGAGCGCCGCTACTCGGGGAGGTGGGGAGCCGCTCTAGGCTGCGGCCGGGACTGGGACACCCGGAAGAGCAAGTGCGGGCCAACCTCAGAGCTTGGGGCGCGGCCCAGAGTCGCGTGTGATGGAGATGGCCCCCTGTGCTGGTCCCCAAGAGTTCTGCTGATTTGGCACGCACTCGTTCAACATCAAGAGGGACAACTGAAGCACTCGCTTGAGAACTGCACCCTGCAGCTGCTTGCCATAGTTAAGGTAGTTTACTAAGAAAATTTGTATTCACAGTTGCTTCGAAACAGAAAGCTGAGAACCGCCGGGAAGCCCGGAAGCCAGGAGCCATACCAAGGTATTCTCAGAATTATCCTCACCAATCTCTAACTTTCCTCAATTTCAACATTACGTAAGCAGATGCTCCTAAAATTCATAAAGTGCAAACTGTTTTAAAAGTTTTGCTGAATGGCATGGGCTCAGACTACTGGATCGTGTGTTCATAATTGCTATCTTGCTGAAGAGGCAGGACTGAAAAATTGGGGACATCATAATAGGTTCAGGGGTATTGCTGAGGAGTCCGTTATGTCATACTGAGACAAGGTGGTGTTGATTTTTCTATTTAATAGAAGAAAAGCCTCTGGATTTGGGGACTCTGTCAGTGTCCCTATCTATTGTAGCTATTGACAATGTCTGAGCAAAAGTTGTAATACCATGCTGTGAGGTGGTACTACGTGCATTCTGCAGCATAGCCCGCCCTACACAGGCCCAAGAGTCGCTGCCTGGAGGTCATAGAGCTGTAAAAGAAGGGATGGACCTATGGATATCTTTAAATTGGATACTCAGATAAATAGATATAGACATGTAAGATTAATCAAACACTTAAACATTGACTGCTCCTTTCAATAGAGCGGTAAAAGTCAGTAGTACAACTATGTTAGCTATTCTGTGTATACGTATTTTTCCCCTTCTTTCTTTTTTCTTTTCCCTCATCCCAGTTGTTCTTTCCTTTTGAGCAGTTTCCTTTCCTTTCACAATGTGTATTGTACCTCCTAGATTTAATTCACTCCTTCAGGTTCTTACACTAGTGAAGCAATATGGTGTTTACACACGCGGGTCTGATTTATACCACTTAAGAGTATGATCTCTGGTTGTGTCCACTTTTTTATAAAAGCCCCGAGATACAACAACCATTGTTAATTTCCTATCACCTTGCCTGAAATTCTGTATTGCTTGTATTGTTTTTGTGTTAGTTTCTAAATGTATGTGAGTTTATTAAGATGTTTTTGTTCTTTTATCTTTAAAATAAAAAAAGAAGGGATGGACCTCCGAGTCCATCCCTGTGCTACACTGCTTCAGGTTTAGGTTCTATTGCTGTCTTCACTGGCTAAGAGAGAAAATCCAGAGCTTGCCTCTCAGTCTTCAGGCTCTCCAGAGTGAGCGCAGATGGTTATGTTGCCAAAAGAGGCGAGCCTTCTGACCTGATGAGGGTATGTGTGCAGAAAGGGGCAATTCCTTCAGCAGGAGTTAAGCTTCCAGGGCAAAGGCAGCAGGTGCTAAGAGCAAAGGCACTGAGGCTGTATCCCGAAGGACTATGACACAACAGGAAGCTAATGCACATTACGAAACTGGATGCTTACAAGGACTGCAGGATAAAACACATTTATAAATTTTCCTTCTGATAAAACTTCTTTCTCATTTTTAGGATCACCTTATTAAAACCTGGCCTTAGATCTGGCCTGATGAGTGGCTTATTCCCCAGATTTCTGTCTGGGATTCTGGTCAAGTAATTACCTCGGCAAAATGAGGGAAGTCCTTAGACTTACAGACAATGCTACCAGAAGGGTTTTCATAAATTCACTATTTTTTAATAACACTAAGAAAATATGTTACACATTCAGTAAATTTTTGTTAAGAAGTTAAAATGCGAGAGGCATTTATAAATAATGAACAAAGTGTACAAATTCCTTTTCTTCAGGAATGCACAGAATGATGGGGGAGGCAGGAAATAAACAAGATAAGTAGGTAAGAATATGTAGACTATATGGTCATAGTAAGTCCTCAGTAAATTACAAATAAAGCCAGAGAAGAATGAGGATTTTGGAAGATCAGAAGTTTTCCATAGGCTAGACAAGCAGTATCTTACTGAGAAGGTGACATTTCATCAAAGACCTCAAGGACATGAGGGAGTGAGCCCTGTGACAAGGACATGCCAGGCAAAAGAGATAAGCACAATAACCTGAAATAGGAGCAGGAGCCACTTACACCAAAGAGAAACAAGGAGATCATGGGCCAGACCAGATCTAAGAGAGAAATGAAAGTAAGATATGATATCAGCTGGGGATTTAGCTCAGCGGCAAAGCGCCTGCCTGGCAAGCACAAGGTCGTGAGTTCGGTTCCTAGTACCGGAGAAAAACCAAAAAAAAAAAAAAAAAAAAAAAAAAAAAAAAAGATGGATATCAGAGGGGTTGCAGTGTACCAGATCATGTGGAGTCCTGTAGCTCATAATGCGGACCTTGGCTTTCACCATCGTCAGATGGAAAGTCACTGGAACCACTGGACAGGTCACTGGTATGTTATTATTCACGTGTTATCAGGGTCCCTTGGCTAGTATTTTGCAAAGCCTCTGAAAGGGTCAATAACAGCAAAAGGCAAACCTGGGAGGGAGCTACTCTCGCATTCCAAGAGAGAGACAGTGGTGATCAGATCCTAGATATGTGTTGAACAGCATAGGATTTGTTCCTCATTGAGTATAGCATGTGGGAAGGCAGACAAGGAGCCACCACACATTTTGGCATGTTTATTTGTGGTATTAAAAGCATGTAAGCATAGGAAAAAATGTCATCTGGGATATTCCTTTCACTATTCTTTGGAACTTATATATATTTGAAAATGTTCAGAGTTTTAAAAGTTGAGGAAATCCATACTATAAACACATCTAATCAATTTGCATTTTAATTTGCTGTGATGCTGGTTTTGGTTCACATTGTTGTTTGCTTTTTGATTGAACAGATTCTCAAAAACTTATTCTCAACCAAGCCAACATTGTCCTGCCAACGTCTGCCCTCCCTCCCTGATTTACTGAATGTGACTTGCAAAGTCTCCAGAAAATCAAACTAGTCTAAAAGTTCCAGATCAAAGAACTTCGCAAAGGCATATTTCAAGCTTCTAATACAAAAAGTAAAAGCTGTCAGAAGAGTGGTGGTAAGTTTGTAATCATTAAAGACTTGTTTAATTGGGCTGGGGATACAGCTCAGCAGCATAAGTCCTGAGTTCGATTCCTGGTACCAAAAAAAAAAAAAAAAGACTTGTTCAATCAACTCTCTTTAAAAGTTGTCTTTAAAAATTAATTCTAGGGGCTGGGGATTTAGCTCAGCGGCAAAGCGCCTGCCTGGCAAGCGCAAGGTCGTGAGTTCGGTTCCCGGTACCGGAGAAAAACCAAAAAA